CCCGGAGGCGCAGGATGGCCAACACCCATTCCATTGAATGCCCCTCACGAGCAGAGGAAGACGGCTGGCACCCGAATCCAAAAGTGCCTTGAATCTAGATTGGCTGAGCCGGGCCTTGCTCGCACTAATTAGAGAGTCGATCACCAGCCAGAAGGGTTCCTCGCTTGACTGTGCGCTCTTTTCTATGCAATGGAGAATCTCAGCACTTCGTAACCATGTCGTACCGTCAATATCCTCGGTGTGTTCCATCTCTGAAGCTCTAAGATGGACAGGGCGGTCGGAGGGAGGGGGGGACGAGAGAGACGTTGACTTCTATTGATTGCCGATCGCTCGAATTAGCATCGTCCTTGTTGTTTGGATTACCGGTACTGCCGGGGGGATCGCCGTCCTCTTTGCTTGGATTGCTGACACTACCTGAAGCACTGCCGTCTTCCTCAACCTTATTGTTCATAAGATGAGCGGGAGAGCGGGACTGGCTTCCGAGACCCGTGTTTCTTCGCGCGGCTTGTCGCTTGGAGCATTGGATTAGAGGCCACAATCTTGTTCGGTGGATTCCGCATTTGCCATGCGTTCAGGTCAAGTGCAAAGATGGTCTCTTTGAAGTAATCAAGCAATTTCCTGGCCTGAAAGGCCTCTTGTCCGCAGGTGGTGATGGAGGAAACTGGTTGTGCGAAAGCTCTGTTGAGAGCGACAACGTTGGTATATGCTTGTCGCAAACAAAAGACTTTCTGACTGTCCTAATCGGTGCGGCTGGCTACGACGTGGTATCTGAATCGAAAGACGAAGACGCTTCTCAAGATAGCGTGGCGATCAAGGTTGCCCTGCGGGCAATAGAGGTCTCGTGGGTGTGAGCTTGTGGAGCTTGTCGACGTCTTATGCTTAGCTCCTGGTCTAGCTATCAGGGTAAGGTGACGGAATTCCTAGTAACTGTGCCCCCTGGAGAAAGCTACTCGTCACGATTCTTACTATCTGGCTTTGCCCTCTCTCTGTCACACCTACGCCAGATTATGGCAGAGACAATAGGGTTAGACGAAGAAGCGCTACGTGAGGACAGCTGCATAGGATCCTAAGCGATCCTGTCTACTATTGTTACTAGAAGACAAGGGGCTTCTAACAAGTGGTATGATGTTTGATATTATGAAGAGATAATCCCGAAAGACGATTGTAAGAAAAATGGCACGAGTTTCATCATATGAAAGTGACCATATCACGAAGAACCATTGCAATAAGCTATACCTTCAAATAGCATCCACGGCAGGGGGTTGTTTCACACTACTAGTAGCTCATCTATGCTAGCTGCAGAAAACAAGAGCCGGTATTCCTTTCGTGTAAAATGCCTCTCTCCACTAACTTACCTAAGCTAGCCTAGATGTTCCCTCTTGGTAAGGCTAGATTAGAGAGCCAGAGACAAACGATGTCATCCCCACATCTAGTTTCCTCATCCAGCTTCTTCATTTAATACAGGAAGATAGACCTACAATACCAGCAGGCCCAGTCTTGTGGTACCGCACTATTGTTTTCATCTATCACAACTATAGGCATCGCATATACTGGCCCGAAATTGCGCTGTTCTTCTTAAATCCAGCACGTGCATCTCGTATGCAATACAGCATACAAAATTCCGCACCACGTGGGCAGGCCCATAAGAAAATCATCGCCAGAGTCCATCTGGCCGATATCCAGCGGCCACCCAGATGTCGGCTTTCATTTGCGTCTCTTATGACACTGTACCATTCATAATTATAGTAGAAGGAACTATACAGCCAGAGTTAAGGCCCTTCACATTCATACTCATATCTCACATCTCCATAACCTTAGGAGAACTGCCGCAATCATGCATCTAGACCACAAAAGGGAACAAGAAAGCGGCAGACAAAGACCGCATCGGCCAATGCTGCAGCAGACTCGTTTCAACGTAGACTGCTGTCTCTTCGGAAGACTATAGACACAAGAACTCGCCATAATCGTTATCCTTTCCCATTATAGACAATAAACATCCATACTATCTCTGGGAATTTTGGCTCTCCAACTTCTACTGTTTCCTTTCCAACACATGATAGTTCACCCTCCTGCAGTCTTGTGTGCCTTTCCGCTTCTGACAGCACCTTGGCACCGCGAGGACCTTCTTTTCTGTGTAGTCCTTTGGGTCTACGCGGAACGGCAAACCCTTGCTCCGTCGTCGTCATCAATCTCAGAGATATTGCTTTGCAGCACTTTAGGGTTGATATCATCAGCGGGAACCAGGTGGTCGGAAGTAATGCCTTAATAGTTGATGCGTCTGTCGAGAATGAGAACATGGCCAATGGTTAGTCGTTGTCAAGGCTCTCGTCCGTAGAAGGAGCACCTCATCCCATTAACTTTCGAGCTTGATAAAACCCAAGTACTCATCCCGGAGAGACATGTTGCCGGAGGCATTGGTACCCTCCTCAGGTTGTCTCCCGTAGATGCCTGTACGTCAACGCTGCGAGCCCGGCACCAGCCGATTGGAAATGCTCATTAGGGTCGACCAGGGGAATTTTCCACCGTGTACCCGGGAGAAGCTCTTCTATGGACACCAGCAGGCCTTCAATCTGGATGCGATGAGGCCGTTCAAAGGGCGGAGGGTGAAGATCGCAAGGAGGGTCCGCGATGCAACGTGGGATGTCAAGTCAGAGAGCCATGTCGATCGGCATGCAAGGGAAAAGCGTGCGTACAACGAGGTGAGGAACCGAGCGGGTTACGGGGATGTGGGGAACACCTGGCTAAGCGAAAGAGGTGCAGGGGCCACTGATGGATGCCCGCGGCCGCCGGGAGAGAGCCACAAATGCGGGCTAAGCGCCCAATGGACCATCACGCCGCACGAGCAGGGCAGAGCAGCACAGGTTGCTGGCGACCTAAACGGATGTCGCAAAGAAGCCGTGGGTCGATGATGTAGGCAGAGACGCAACGACACTCAGAGGAGCTTCGCTGGAGCTGTTTTGCGTACTCATGGGAGCTGACACAGATGTGGCGCTACTAGATGCATCGTTTGCCGGTCATGGCTGTGGAGAGCCTTCGCTACATGTAGATTGGAGACCAGGTGCACCTATTCCAGAGAGGTGGGCAACCTTGATCGATCATAAGGGCTTGTCGATACCATGTCCATTAATCAAACGAAACCATGCGCACAACCCTTCGCTGCTACCTTAAACCTTCGGGTTCAAAGGTTTCATATACGGCGATGATGGTACGTTACAGAACTGAAGGAGGGGCAGCCAAGAATAGGCTTAGTCCCGAGTTCCGAGTCGGCAGCGCTCATGACAGGGGTCATGTGACAGGTTGATGCCTTGTAATACGCACCGCCGGGCGATGTACCGGTTCTGGGAAACAGCGGTGATAGAAATCATATCCTTCGGATGTGCTGGTTTGGCTAGCCTAAAGGGTCGACGATTGGTGATTTTGGAGATCCAAAGGATTCGACTCGACGGAGGCACAGCGAGTTTGAGTAAAGGGCTTGCAAGAAATTTTTCGGTCCGAAGACGTGGAGATCCTGTTTTTGGGTATTAGATTTGACTGTAAGGCAATAGCAGCCACCATATTACTCACTATCTTTCTACCTGGCTTTCTCTCACACACCCTCACTTACTGATGGATGGTGATACTGGATGATGATAACGTACTTGTAAACCGCGTCCACACTTGGGCTCATACAGGGCTGGGGCATCAATTCAGAAACGCAGCCGACATGAGCTTTACCCGCGATATCGGGCGTAAGGAAAGACGAAGAATGAAGAAAAGGAGAGAGAAAAAGAGCGAGCGCAGTGATTGTGACAAAATGGGAAACTCAGAGCATAACGTGGACCCGTCGCGGGAGGACGAACGACCCATAGATGTACAATATACAGAACGGTCTTGTGGTGGGGAAAAGAAGGAGACTTGGAATTGTGGAGAGTGAGTGAGTCCAGACACTCACCAGCCACACCGTTCATCTGAATGCACATTTTCTCACTCACTCATACTCTCATTCTCAATCTAACCCTCACCTTCACCATTAATTTCGAAGAAAAGCTCCTTCTCCATCTAGTCATCGACTCTGCCCACACGCCTCATCACCCACATCTCACTGGTGAGACCTGCGGCGCCTATGCCCACCAGCAAAGCCTGTGCGAGGAACTGCTCGATGATGTCTTACTGTGAGCCTTGGCCACACAACTATTTTTCCATGCCTCGCAAAGCTTCCATGTTTGGTGTTCAATGGGAGCCCAGAGACTTTTGCCAGGAGCAAAAATTGTCGCGGGAGGCGACGAATTCGTAGCGGAAGCTCGGAATCTCGCTGTTAGCCTTGACTTTCTGGTTTCTGCTGCCAAACCGCTCTTATCTAACTAATGCTTAACCATGGGAGCACTGTAATCCTTAACATTATCATCAACGCTTCGACCACACCGAAGTCCTGCTTGCTTGCTCCTATGAGGAGGTAAAGGAACTAGATCATCTAGTCTATTGCCAAGCGACCTTAGCAAAGAGGCGGTAGTGGCCTACGGTATTTACTTTTGGTGCGCTCGACCCCATAGAACCCACGGTATGTCATGAGTGGTACTTCAAGGGACTAACCACCGACTCAAGAAGCTTCGAGGCTTTCCTAGGCGTGAAACACTTCTTCCGGTAGAGCTGCCCACTCTGCTCGGAGTCGAGTAACGACAGCAATTCTAGACAGTCATGGTACCCTCCCGAGAGACTACATAGAAAGCAATGACACTGGGGACCAGTGGGAACCAGAGACAGATATAACGCATAGTAGCCATCAGGCAAGATTTGGAGGACGTGAGGAAGAGCAATGTGCTGTAGAGTATATAGTTCCAGCTTACGGCTCTCTAAACTACATACCCCTTGGGAGTGTTGCAGGGCTGGAACCCTCGGCGCCATGGCCTTAAATTACAGAAAGAACAGCGACGGAAAGATCTTTATGCAAGATTTGGATATCCAATTTCCAGGTCTGGTAACATGTTGAGGTGACGTATATCGGATTTTAGGTATCTTGGACCCTAAACCCTCCCATGTAGCTCCATCAGCTCTTTCTCTTTGTCCAGGTCCTTCACGGACGGGGAGACAAAGACTTTTCCAGAAATAGCCTGGTGTACCGTTTTGGCAGCAACCAGTACCCAAAGAGAGCATACTGAAAGTGAAAAGATCTGGCAGGCTGGTTAGCAAGGCAATCCTTACAAGCAGCGAACAAGGAGAGACACGAACCATGGTCATGACTCTGAAGAACACACTGTCTAAGTCCTGGGCCAGCAAGCCTGTGCAAGTCGCCAACACGCCAAGCGGGAATGTGAGCCCCCACCATGTCATGTTGAAGGGAAACTTCTTCGTCATGGCAACACTGATGAGCGCAAAGGTCAGCCATACCAGACCAAAGCCCCACATGACGAGCGCTAGAAAAAGTCCAGTGAAGTAGAGGAATTCCTCACCGTGTGTGGCGCCCGGAGTCCTCACATTAAACGATGTATGGGGGAGTATTGTGAGAGATGCTCTGCCCAGCTGCTGTATACCAAAACCGCCTTGTCCCAGGGGCCCAATAGGAATAAAAACAGAGATGATGCTCGCCTTTGCTGGGAGGCCGTGGATGATGAGGCGGTGGAAGTACAGCGCAAGGACAGTACCTGATAGGCAAATACCGATACCCCAGAGAATATAGGACGCGATTAACGTGACAAAGGCGTGGTCCGGGTTTACAAGAGCCTCTGCAACGATGCCGCCGGTCGAAGATGCAACTACTACTGGGACAATTGGGAGGAGGTATCCAGCTGTAATTGCCTGCAGCTCTTGACGGTGTTGAAAAATCCTTTACCACATGTTAGAAGAACACTTAGTGCTTTAGTGATAGGAATGACTTACATGACCATTGGCACTATCATGCATGAAGTCAAGGACAGAGCAGCATCTAACCACCAGAAACCCCAAGCCCAGTAAACCACCCACTGACCCCAGGCAGGTGCACAGACAAAAATCATCATATTAATGATTGCTATTTCTCTTCTTAGCAAACAGCTTTGAGTAATTATAGCAATTAATACTGACTTGCAAATCCCATTGGAAAACAGCCAAGAAACATAGACTCAGCAGGATGTACAATCATGGCCTTCCACATCTCAGGGTACATTGCATAGCGTAAAGCCGTGATCGCAGTAAAAACGGTAAATAGGCTAACGTTGAGGATAAAAAAGGCAATAGCGAATCCATGTGAGATCCATGTTGTATTGTAAGGAAGGCTGTGGAGAAGGACTGAGACTATGCCCGTGCCCATAATCACTGCGAACCACCTACAGGAATGTTGAGTGGTGAAATGGACAGATTAGGGTGTACGACTCACGATGGCGTAAAGTTCCTGACAATTTTCCTCCAACCGATGTCTTCTTTGCGAGGCGCATCGCGTGCTTCTCCATCTAGTGTCGAATCCTCAGAGAGGGCTTGACTTGTTCCAAAATGTTGTGGTAGTGAATGACGAGTCGCTATGTCACTGACGATAGCCATCTGAAGAGTGTAGAACAGTCGCTGCCAAGAGTACCGTCTCTAAGAGTTTGGATCTCAATGTTTGTGATACAGACTGTAAGCCCCAGCAAGTGACAAATTTGGTATGGGAGGAACTGGGCGTCTAAGAGCAAGAATATATTGAATGATGTCAGATTTGTTGTGCGACGATAACGGTTTCTCTAAAATCGATGGTTTTGGGCAGAGTCTGACGTAGGAGTCAAGCAAATATCGTTAAGGTAGGTTCCAGAATGATATAGGACAGAACGAATAACATAAGTGGTAAAACTACAAGGCAGGCTGCACAATAGAATGATGCTCAAAACCACGTTTTAGTTCTGGCTGTAGCCTCTTCTTAATACCTGCGAGGAGGCATCGGACTTCATAGGAGCTGCTCTCTTATTCGCATCTCTTTTTGTAGTTGAAGTCCTCAATAAAACTCCCCGATCCGAGGTCTACCCTGATACTTCTCCTCTGACAGATTGACGTCGCTGACACGCCCGTCATACCTCATCCTAACTTTGGTCCTGAAACGTCCCAACTTTTGTCCTCATGCACGGTTATTTTGGCTTCGACAGCGATGTGCCCTACTCGTATGAGCTTAATTGAATGCAGACATGCGCAGCTACCGGTAAGCACTAACTGAGTGGCAAGATCGGGTCCAACCGAGGAAACGGAAAAAACGGCAACCGCGTTGGTTTTTTTCGATTAGTACAATATTCGCGCAGTATTGCCTCAAAAAGGCGGAACAACGATGTCAGCTAAAACGGATGTTAAACCTTCAAACTTCAATGACACCCGTCTCGTCACACACTTTTTGTCGCGCTTGATAATGATCGGGGCTATACGCTGCCTATCAGCGGTGTTGTCGGGGCCATTCGAACTATCCAGTGACTATGACGACCAACGCGAACCGTTTGTTTCAAGACCCATGCGCCTACCATCAATATAGTCCCCGAGCTAGGCACCCACAGCTCTAGTAACATGGGCAGATGGTCCCTGTCCCTTGAACCAAAGATATGTCGGACACTATAACACACTGACATAATTCGGAACCGGTAGTAATCAAACGTTCCGGAGGTCCGCTAGTTTTTATCAGGTGATGCTAGCCAGGCCTGATGATCGGGCGAAGTTAAGTTTATTACCGAGGCAAGATAATCGAGTTCCTACATAACTAAAACAAGAAACCAGCCCTTTAGAGCAGTAGCACAGGATAATCGCATCCATAGCAATGGCCATCTTGTTCCCGACCAAGATCATCCCGCCCTTCAAGCGCAGCCTTGGGGACAACGGCAACCGGTTCGACCAACTTGTGTTAGGATTAAAGAAGGTCCTTGGCCCATCATCAGGGCTAGACTCAGCAGATGTCAACGTCATGGAGCTAATGAAGCTGATGGAGGAGTATAACACACAGGAGATCGAATGGGTGAAGTTCGCGTTTGCAGACGAATGCATGGAATACACCCGCAATCTTGTTGACGAGGGTAACGGCAAAAGCAACCTGGTTAGCAGATTTGACACTATTCACGACTTTGCGGGGGATATTGAGGCTAACACAGCACGCACAGCTTGTACTTGTCTGGACGCCAGGCAAAGGCAGTCCAATCCACGACCACGGCAACGCCCATTGCCTAATGAAGATACTCAAGGGCAACCTGACTGAGATCCAATACGCCTTCCCAGAGGGTGACAAAGAGCAACTGATGAAAGCAACATCTGAAAAAATATATAAAGAGAATGCAGTAGCGTATATGGCAGACGAACTTGGTGTCCATCGAATGTGCAACAGAGGCAGGGACTTCGCTGTCTCCCTTCACCGTAGGTTTTCCATTAACCTGCTCTGCAACAACTCAGCTAACCTATGACATAGTCTACACTCCTCCCAACGTAGCCAAGAGGGGGTGTAACATTTTTGACAAGAAGACTGGCAAGAGCAGCCATGTAGATGACTGTTACTACTCAGTGTATGGCCGCCAATTGCCAAAGGAGTAGACAGTTGTGCCAAGACGTCCGGCTTGGTTATAGGTGTATACATGTTAACTTGAGCAATAGTCCAAGCCTGCAAACATCTTAGCCGATAATTGAGACTAAGCTAAGAGGGAACTAAAGGAGTAACAGAGAGGTTTTTTGTGTATTAAAATTGTCGCGTATAGGGGTCAGATATACAGGGTCAAAACGGTCCATCTAATAGAAAAGGGGAATAGGGCAACTAATGGGCCTATATATACCCGTCTAGAGCACCTAGTCCTACACGCACAGGGATACCCTAGTGCGACACACCCCCCTAGCCTTTATATAGACGTATATACGTCTAGATGAAGGCTACTTAAGTGAAGCAATTTACATACAAAAGAGATATATCTGGCAGCACCAGATCCAAATGAACGTCTGGGCTGTACAGGCTAACCAGGCCGAATCCCCCTGCAGTCCCTGCTGTGCGCAGCCTCCACGGTTCGGCAGCCCGGTCCCGCCGGCCCCCACCTAACGGCCCTCGCTAGCGCCGATCCCCCCCGTAGTCCCTGCTATGCACAGCCTCCACGGTTCAGTAACGCTAAATAAAGCTATACCTTAATATATAATACAACTAAGAAGGTTATTTATAATAGGCCTATTTATAATAGTATTCTTATTTATAACTTACCTTTTATTTATTAGTTTTTACTTTAAAAGGCTATACTTATTCTTTTATAAGGTATTTAGAATTATTATCTATTTATTTTTATTAAAGTATATTTTCTTTTAAATACTTTTACTTTTTATTATTATCTCTAGTTAACTATATATAGTTATTAGTTAGTAATAGGCCTTATTATATAAGTACTTTTAGGATCTAGTTTTACTAAGCTTATTTTAGCTGTTTTTTTTATTAATCTCTTAGGTCCTACTGAAACTGCGTGGGATAAAGGAAGCTAGCAAGTGGGCAGTTGACACACAAACCACACCAAACACCAAGGTCCTAGTATCGTCACGAGTGCACCTGGAGTGACCGATTACCCTAAGTGATTACCTTAACGCCT